CCAACGACAATCCTCATCCCTTGAGCCCCAACCTGGAAGGCGGGCTGCACCAACCGAAGCCAAAGTTGAAGCCAGCTTTTTCATACCTCTAGCCCATGCCATGGTCTGACCGCCGCGTCGCTTCTTCCAGCCTTGCCCGGCACGTGCAAAGAGAGCACGGAAAGGTAGTCGATGGGCAGGCATATGCAATACGTGACCAAGCCATCGGAGGCGGTGTAGAGCGATCACTTCCGTTAGAGAACGACTATCCACACCCAAAACACGACCATGAACTTCGTCCTTGCTCACCCGACGTTCCCACCAGACACGAGCAATGCTTCGGTGGTCAAATACAAAGTCGATTAGCATCCTCCGCTCGGAGAGGCCAGGTCTCGCAACCGTAAAGCAGAATACTACGAACTGTAGCAATATACACCCATCCCTTAAGGGACAGTCGGATGTCATGGCGGTGCCACAGGTGTCGTAGGTTGGCGAAAACTATTCTAGCTTTCGCTATTCGTGATGTGATCTCGTCCCCAACACCACCACCAGCTGCGATCAATCTCCCGAGGTACTTAAAGCTCTCAACTACTTCCAGCTGATTACCACAGAGGATGAGTGCAGGCACAAGCTCCTGCCAGTCTTGAACAAATACTTTGCACTTGGAAGGCGCTAAGCACATACCACACCTGAATACCTCGATCGCCAAGCGGTTCAGAGCGTCTTGGACTGCCTGTGTGTTATCACCCAGCAAGGCGACGTCATCGGCATGTTCCAAATCAAGGACTCTATTCCTTGGGAGGAGTTCGACCCCACCGTTTGTTAGACCGAACAAAGCATTCTGTAGAATATCCTCTATGACAAAGTTGAAAAGGAATGGGGATATAGGGCAAACTTGTCGAACTCCACTGGGTATAAATACATTACAGTTGCGATAGTTACAATAGTGACCCGATACCAAAACTGTGGGGATCAGTAATTACGATAAAATTGCGTCGCCTCTCATGAGATGAATATATATGTATATACTCTTGATGCATGGCAACAACTCCTTTGTCGCAAAAAAAACATTAATTGTGCCATTTGCTCATGGAAATCCAAGTCCAGGAACCAGGAGTGGTGAACCATATAAGGCCCCACTAGGCTAAGAGTAGTATTGAGCCAGATGGTAATGAAGCTAACTACCACCAAAGTCGCGTGGAAGCATCGTAATTTTAGCCTCAACCCTAGGGTTGAAAACACGCCCAAGGAAACGAGTTAAACCGCTTAACCAACAACGCAATACCAATACACGATGCAAATCACCGCTCAGTGAGTGCTATTTCTGACAACATGACGTAGTGACATTTCCATCCACCTGTAGCACTTACAGAGAATAAAGCGAACACATTATTTACGTAACGGATATGAAAAATACGAACGCAAAACCGTACATGCACCACAGGCAGGTGAGCAATGAACACGTACCGCAAATAGCCCTCCGGATGGATGGATTACTACATCCCTCAACGAAGTGATAGGATCCAACGCTTTGACTAGACGGTTGATTAGTAGGCCGAAACAGGTCATCCATGGGAGATTATCGAACTGTGAGGAAGACTGCTCATGCTGATGCGAGTACCTCAAATCGGGAAGCAAATGCAAGCACGTTTGAATCAATTCCAATATAAGGCTGCCCGAGATTAATGCATTTCCCATGGGAACCGTTTGATCAGTTTCGGCAGATACAGAGGTAGTATAGTTTTTGACGACGCACTGATCTAAACGAGAAACACAGGGATGAGAACAACTTATACTATATGTATATATATATATATATATATATAATGAAGAGAGACTGAGAGAAAGAGGGAACTTACCGTGGTCAAAATAAAACGGCATTGCTAAGCACGGCAACAATGCACGCATTCGACGAGATCCTAGAGACATCTCAGATGCGTGACCTGTACACAGACAGCGAAGCAAGGTGGAAACATCCTTGCAATTCTGTTCAGGTATTTCATTTAGGTGAAAAAAAGAGAAGAAACATTATATGAGAGCACAGGACACGTTGCGATCAGATACACACGACAAAGTGATAATGTGGCAGACGATTAAAGTAATTAGGTCGCATGATTATTATTAACTAGCGAACTGTTACAATATTTGATTTGTGAAATAATGACTATTTTCGGTAATTAATCGTCAGGGGTTGTCTGCTGTTGTGCCAACTGAGTTTTGGATTGCCCTTTTGAAGAGAGATACACGGAAATGATGTTGATCTTTTCGATAACAAAATCTTCTAGTGCTGAAGTGTTTCGGCTCGTTCAAAGACAGTCCAGATGCCGTTCAGGCTCAACGTTTGGTCTATATGGCTTTGTGATCTGAATATAAATAACGGTCGTTTCTGAAGTGAATGCGAACACCTCTTGAACCCGATTAAATGTGTATAAATGTGTCTAACGACGTTTTCTCATTAAACAACATGTCATCAAAGCGAAAGCAATAAAGGAGAAACCCTCTATTTTGTTCACAGTTCTTGGTTCTCCCATTACGGGAGATAACGAGAATTATGAGGGCTTACCTTTGGGTCTGTTTTGTAACCTTCGCAAGTTCCCTTTCACATACTCTAACTCTTATGCAACTTCCTCGTGCGTGAAGCTTAATCCGTTTCACGGAAGTCTCTGATGAGAGCTGCTCATGGGTTGCTATCTGCACAGGGTTAGCACACAATGAAATCCAGTGCTCCGAAAACCGACTGAAGACCTAGACTATGCATATTCGTTTTGGTTGTACTCATGCACCTCTATGACTGGCCTGCGGGGCGATATGACCAACTCATGCAAAGTGCTGTTGATGGGCTTGACCTTGTGGGTTATCGATAGAGAAAGAAGACAAATGTCGCGAGTTGTCTACATTTCCTCCGATCTCCTGAACTGTGACGGTCGGTGGATTGATGGCATCAACAACTGTTGGCAAACCGGTTCTGTCCCACACACTGTATAACAGTTCATCTCCGCACAAAATTTTTCGATACAACCAATACACTTACCGTGGAGTAGCGTGGAGTAGACCTTCTACTTGTGTATTTATTAATATTTTACACGTTTATTCACCATAATTGAACAACCCAATGTATGTACCTGTTTCGTTTAATTCAACGATTGAGAAGATTATACGAAATGTTAACATCTCGCGACATTGGTCTTCTTTCCCAATTAATGGAATGAATAAATCTCTGAAAGCAGGACTGCATGCTTGCGTGTTCTGTTTCCGAACGGTGAAAGACACGATCGGAGTAGTGAAGAGGGTGTCGCGAAAGAAATCAGAGTGGCCAGTCCATAT